TTCACCTGGGTGCTGCCAAGCTTATCTTCAAACAACATGGAGGTATACTAAGTCCCAATCAGTGGTACCATCTTCTTGGAAATCCATAAGTTATTTGTCTAAGATAAGGCTCCTTTCTCTGACACACGAATCTTTTTATGGGATCTGTCCTGAGCAGGTTGTAACGATTATTAGGAAAAGTCCAAATATACGAAATATGAGGGTCAATTTAAAACTAACTCTTGAGGTACCAAACTCCAATGTTGGAAGACTGTCTCAGTTTTAGACATAGGTCTGCAATAGTGTGGAATTCCTTGCCTCATTCAGCCAAGAACATAGAGGACAATAAGAGGTTTAAGAACAAACTCCGTTCTCTTTCAACAATTATTGAAAAGATATCTTTTAATCAAACTGCTCTAGCTGGCAACAAGGATTTGGTAAATTTTAAATATTTTTAGGAATTTTATCTTACTACCTGTATTGAAATTTATGCTAGGATTATAACCCAATTTCAATCACTACTCATATCTTAGTTTATACGAGGATTTTTCTACTTTTTTTGTAATTACTTTAATTATATAGAAGTTAGATTTATCGCAGGCCCACATCAGCTTAATGATGCCAGCAACCACCCTGCGTTACCAAATAAATTATTTATGTATGTAGGTATGTATCAACTATTGTGTTTTCACACTTGTGTTCTCTTCCCTTGAGTATTAAGGCTCTAGCAGAATCATTTTTCAATTTATTGATCTTGCAGCATGCCGCTAAAATGCCTTTTGTGAGATTTTTTTTGGAAAACAGTATTTTATACACAAAGCCTTTGTTACTATCACCTATTTTTTTTCTCACTTGAGTTCCTTTTCCTCGAGTCTTCAGGTTCTAGCAGAATCCTTCATTTTCAATTTATTGATTTTGCCGCTAAAGAAGACAGTAATTTTAAATAAACAAATCTTTGAAATAGGTCGAACTGCAAACTTCCTAGAATTGCAAAGATTATGTGGTTCGCACCATTCGATAAAAAGAAGAAAAAACAAGAAATAACAAGATCAATGAAAGTTATTAGTGAAAGAAAAAATTATAGTCTGCCTTTCGTAGACATTCATCTTTGTTCAAGAAAAAGGTAAAAGAAAAATTGACTAGCTAGAAGCAGCCCGGCATCGAAACTGGATTTGTGGGCGGTCACTTACATCTCGCCTTTTTTTTTTCTTTTTTCCACATTTTAGGTATATTTGAATGATTCAGCTTTCTTTCAGCTTTCCTTCATCTTTCTTTACTTCGTTTATCATAAACACAGCCCATTTCATTTTATAGTTTAACACAAAAAGCCTTCTTTTCCTTTGAATATTTAGGCTCCAGAAAAATCTTTTTTCAATTAATTGATCTTGCGGCGTGCCGCTAAAGTGCCTTTTGTAAGATTAATTTGTTTTGGAAAGCAGTATTTTTTAATACACAAAGCCTTTGTTACTATCACCTAGTGTGCTTTCTCACTTGAGTTTTTTTTCCTTCAGTCTTCAGGCTCTGTCACACTCCTTTTTCAACTGATTGATTTTGCCTCTAAAGTGCCTTTTGTAGCTTTTATTTTGGAAGACAGTATTTTTCAATAAACAAATCTTTGTTTTAGCATCTTTTTTTTTTTGGCTTGTCTTAAGGCTCTAGCAGAATTCTTTATCAATTCGCACTTTGGCGGCATACTTTCAATTCTGTTTGCCGCTTAAGTGCCATATATAGTATTTATCTTTTCATTTTTTAATTAATTACAAGCTTTGTTGTTATTACTTTTTGTGTTTGGAGACCTATGTTAATAAAGACATGTCTTTTTCAATTCATCCTTTTAGCATCGTGTCACTACAGTGCCATTTTAGTCTCCCATTTCCCTGTTTATTTTGTGGAGTCCGTTTCTTTAGGCAAACTGAAGAGTAACCTTATATCATCAGCATCTTTTTCTGCTCGAGTCTCTAAGCACCAGCAAAATCCTTTCTTTTTTAATTAAAAGCTTTGTTATTATTACTTGTTTTGTTTGCAGACCTACGATTATAAAGACAATTATTTTTAGATTTATTGTTTTAGTATTGAGTCCCCCGTGCCTTCTTGACTTAAACAATTATTTTCAAAATTAGGTGTTCTCTAGAGACCTATTTCTTATTGACCTCTGGACACCTACTTCCCTTGAGTCTCTTTCAGTTAAAGTGACAGGATATTTTTATCGTTGAAAGTGACTCTCCATTTCTCTGCTGTTTGCCAACATGTCTGGATTGAGCCACTTCCACTGCGAGCTTTTACCCGATGCTAACATTGACAGTCATTTAATCTGCCCGATCTGCTAAGGTTTGCTTTTATCGATTTCAAAACCTCGGCACTGTTTGAGGAGAATTAGGAACTTTTCCTTGTCACCTGTCAACTTTTAATGAGAAAGAAGAATAACTGGCGATATTAAAGAGAAGAGTTCGACAAAAAAAGAGAACACGGGTCAAGCGCTCAGAAGAAGCCCCGTAGCAACTTCAGAATAACCGGCCACTTTTGACTAACCCTAACCCTATCCGCGACTTCTTTGTGCAAAATCTGGACGCCATCGTGGAGCAGAGTACTAGTCGCTTTCTAAGGATTGTGATACTCTTGACAGAATGATACTCTCTCTTTCGTCTTTGGGCCTTTTTTTATTTGCTTTTTTTGTTTTTTTTAACCAAGGACTATTTTCTGCTTTTAATATTTCCATGAGCAAATATTTTTCCATGCGCAAAGAGCTTCCAAGTGTTAATTTTTTCAAGGCTGCGAGAAATCGGAGAAAGAATTCAGTGCAGTTCGTCTTGGGGTAAAGAAACCACTTTCGGTAAAGCTATCGGGAGGTTCGAGAACTCGAAGGATCGAGGAAACTATAAATGCCTCAGAAACTACTTTCAGAAAATTATTCCACCTAATAAATTATAATCACCAAACTCAAAATTCCTTGAAATTTGTTGTGATAGCAGGCTAGCTCGTGTGTGATTAATTTGTTAATTTTCATATCTTTTTCTAACGCCTGTCGCATTGACTGGTCGTTAGCCCAGTATTTTATCAACACTTTGGGTACTACTCAAGATACGGGAAGACGATGGCTATGCTATCACTGTTCTACCTGTTTTAAAACGACTTTACAAAGCAAGGCAAAAACGGCAGAAATCACCAAAAACCACTTCGGACATACTAGGAATGACTAAGTTTTGTCATTCTTATGTTTAAAATGTTCGTATTTCGGAATACTTAGTGTTGTAAATCGACCATATTTCGTTCCCCATTCCTTACAACGCATTCAAATTCTCAACGGTTCCTCGAATAACTTAACACCGGGTCACACAACGGGAGACGCTTCCATGACATAATGATAAATTTTTCCTCTAGACGTGAGCTTTATTACTTTGGACGCCCACGTCCCAACGTCTTCTTTTTCCAAACCCCTGCGGTTTCTTTTTGATGCGCACTCCGTGAACAGACTTAAACCCCTAACTAACGCAACTTCTAGAGTGGTTTGGAAAAGCTTCGAGTTTTTTCATCGCTCATAACCTTTACTATATACAATAGTGATGTGATAGCGGAAAAAAGTGTTTTAGTATAACATCCCACTGGGGCACCGCTCTCTCCCGACAATGAAGTTGATTGGTCTCAGCTTTCTTATTCATTTTATTTAACGATGACTGGTTGATTTTTCCATATCCCACTGTCTTCCTTTTCCAAACCACTGCCAGCAGTTTTTTCTTCTTTTGCTTAATCGAAATGTAAGGAATAAAGAGCTGTGCGAATAGACTTAAACCCTTAACTAACGCCACTTCTTGAGTGGTTTGGGAAGGCTCATAACCTTTGCTTCACACAAAAGGGATGTGATAGCGGAAATAGTGTTTTGATATATTACTCCACTGGGCCCCCCCACAATGAAGTCGATTGGTTTCGGTTTTCTTATTCACGTGCCGGACTCGTGCTTCTACAGCAGAACAAAAAAGGGCCTGTTCGTTTGGATTTCAACATAGTTAGTAGGGGGGACTGAATGAAAGTTGACTAAAATTGACCTAGGATATTCGAACATGGGAGATTCATGCGATTCCAGCTCTGGAAGCAATTGCGGGTCACCTCAGCCGATAGGAAAGTCAACGAGTAAAGTGTTCGTATGGCTGAAGGGAAAGGCGAAGTGTACACCGCGTGGAAATCCGTGGGTACTGCTGAATCGCGAGGGTAGAGTGAAAGACATTAAAATTGGAGGCAACTATTCGAGTGCAAAGATAAAAGAGCTGGTCAAGGAAAATTTTGCTGGACTTGCGGCTGTTGACTTGGATAGGTAGGTTAAGTACCAAAGCACTTTATCCCGCATGCAGGTTGTTTGCATTGAATACTGAATGTAAACTCAGAAGTGTGTGGTCACGTAAAACCCAGGTAGAGCAAAACAATTCAAATTTTAGCCACGCGACAAAGGATTCAAAATTTACCACTTATACTTTAGCTATTTGCTTCGGATCATTCATTAAAACCAAAGTATGAGCAGTGAACTTGCTACGAATGTAAGGCCTGCAATGGAGTTAAATCTGCACGTAATATACAAAAACAGCACCTTCTATAACACATGTAAGGGTGGGCTGAAAGTTATCCAGATCCACCCCATTTAGAGTCATTTCACGCAACGTCATCAAAATTAAAAAAGAAAGGAATTGTCAGTCGTTACTCGAAGACTTACATTTAAACAGATTTTCAGTTTGATCGGAGTACTTGTCGCTCTAAACTACGTACAGATCTGAATCTTACCGAGACTGTATCGATATTTAACTTATTTTATCTCTTGGATTCTTGACTTTACCTGTGCAATGGTTTTGGTGATGGCTACACAGTGAAAGGAAAGCAGCAACCTTGTTATCCATTGACAAGCTTATGATCTTACAGAAAATTTTCATAAACTCATATAGCTGACATCTGATGTGTTATTCATACATCAGATACTAAGCTGTGTCAAACAACGTCTTGTTCACAATTAACAAACATTAAAAAAAACCCAGGTGTATGCAAATTTTGTGGTTAATATGTTTTTATTATCCAGACAGATGCAGCAAATCAACGTGAATGCTGGTGAGATTCACAACAAGTTATTCATAGTTTCCAATAGGGAGAGGTTAGAGCAGGATCGTTCACTTAAGAGGGAGCAGGAGAGTGCATTGCAAAAGGCAATAGAGGATGACAAGGTAAATCGCTTTTCCCAAATACTTATATTGCACAAATAATACCAATATCAATTATGTCAATCAGGGCATGATTACCTGTTGCAAAAAAACTAAAACAAAGAATAAATTAGAAGAAAGTCAGGCAATGAAATGAGGATAATTGTTAGAAGGCTTCCTTTAAGACTTCAGGAGCCAAAACAAGCACCAGCCATCAAAGTATGGCCCAAGTTTCAGAGACATACCCCCAAACAGGAAAGGAAATGAAGAGATTCAACATAAATAACACTTGTTACCAGTAAAACTGCTATAATTGCCACTTTCTCTGTTAAGATTTAGCAGCAGCAATTTCGAGATCTTTTTTCTAAACTGTCAGTGAGATATTACTAAGGTTGTCATGTATTTATTTTGTCAGATTAAAGAATCAAGCAAGATAAGGGAGGCCCGACAAGCCAGAGTTACAGACGTCAGTCAAGAAGGAGAAAAAGAGAAAGTGACAATTATCCTCAACCACTCAAACGGCAAGGAAGAGCACCAGTTCATCGAAGGTGCCTTCTTCCAGGTACATTATAAACAATGACACAAATTATTAAACTTTAAATAGCACTTTGGTAAAATGTAGACATACAGTGATTGGCACATAGCTTTTTATAAAAAGAAAACTAACCTTTTTTTCTGTTTAAATGATATAGGAAGTATATGACTGGGCAGGCTCCAACAATGCTCTCCCATTACACTTCTCTATCCAAAGAGGAAGGGAAGTGGTAAAACATGGAGACCTCTTGGAGAGCAGAGGTGCTTCATATTCGTGAGAGAACAAGAAAATAATAATATTGCATAAAACAAATAACAACTACAGTACTAGAAATCTGGAGTTGGAGTCTTAAATATACTTGTGTTACTTCAAGAAGGCAAATAGCATGCCTTTGGTGAATTCAAATTTGTTCAAAATACCCTTTTAATCCTGATTTTTAGAGGTGGTGGAAAAAATATGGCAAATGATATGCTATCTTTTGGTATTTCTTAGCACAAAAAATTAATCTTTATGAGATACATAAGAAATACAAGGATGAATTTTGAGAGAATTTTTTCTTGCATATTCACCAATGTGCCTGCATGAAGTTTGAAAGTCACAGTGGTAAAGTGTTCAAACAGCTGCCCTGGTAAATACCGTGGAATTTATGTATTAAACCTTATCTTTGATTCTGTTAACTTGCTTTTTTTTTTTTTTT